GACCCGAACGGGAGCAGTCTATACCCACTGTCTTCTCTTGCCATCTTACTCCAAGTGTTACACTGTCAGCATCCTGCCTTTTACTAAAACAGGCTACACTCCTTAACTTCCAGTTGAAGCTTACTGTGTGGGGTAATCTGATTTTCTGATGGCTTTTGATTCTATTGTAAACATGGTATACCAGAAGATGAGTTATCGTTGCATTATTCTGAATATATGATGCCTTCTCTTTCTGTACTCTTGCATGAGTGTCTCATACTGTTAGATCGTTTAACAAAGAATACCAGATAAGAAAACTAGATAAAGTAGAAATGAAAGGCAATTAAAAATGCATTTGCTGCATAAAGCAAGAACTGTATCTAGCCAAAATGTGGAAATGTGCTTTCTACCTTAAATCAGTTTTATGGAATATAAAATGAAGCTTTTTGGTGGAAACTTCATTTATCCAAAGTAAGAATGTATAAACCTAGCAAGAGATAACATAGTGTGACAGTTTTAACCCAGAATTTCCTAATATAAGACCAATCAGTCCTTTCTCCAAACGTTGTCTTAGGCTTCTGTCTATCATCTAGGCACGGGAATGACCTCAAGACAGTGGGGCCCACTGTTTGCAACAGGAAATAAGAAAGTAATCGTGTATATTGAAAACAATGTAGACCCTTTGATCTTGCAGCATTTATGACCTTTTACAAACTTCTTACGGGAATACAAATACCCTGTCATTTTGGTTTGGGCCTGATTAGAACTGGAACTCCACAGGGAGGGGAAGGGGAAAGACGGGAAAATGCAATTATACTTCCTGAATTGATGTTAAACCAGTGACATTTTAAAAGTAACCAGCCTGGCAGTTGCCAGGCTATTGTTACAAGATACGCTGAGGCAGAAACTCCACAGTGAAGGTCACTGTGCTGGAAGCAGAGATGTGAACATTTTAGCATCTCTCCCTCTTCCTTGGGGTTTGGTTGTTTACATCCAATACTCGCTTCTGCCCCTCACATATTTTCTAAAGATAATACAGTTTTCAGAAGCAAGTTGGCATCCCATCAGCCCACTCAGTTTGCCGGGGACACATGCTGAGCTCTAAAGGTTTGCCTGAAAATGGCCCTGCCCAGGGAGCCGCTACCACAGCACGCTCCGCCGCACTCCTTCCTGCTGCAGGACAAGCACGCACGACCACAAGTGCCCTAAACGTTCACAGGCGCCATCTGCCAAAGCATTCACTTGCCATCACCAGGGGCAAAACTGGCCCCTGTGACTGCGAAAACACCTCAGTCTAATGAGAAAAATGAGGAAAAAAATCTGTGACGAGCATCTAAGAATAGAGAGCTTATTTCTACCAGAGGATTTAGGGCAGAGATGATTGTTGTTTAAATATGGTAGAAAACCTTAGTCTCTGAGTATGCTAAGGAGCTTTTACACCAACTGAAGGTAAACGTCTTAATGCATCTGCTTTGTGTGTGTAAAACTTGGACAATTTATGCAGTTTTATCCTTTTCAAAGGTGACCCGCACTGCTTTAATTTTTGAATGGATTAACTCCAAACAGCAGGATGTGAATTAAAGGCTCCTGAAGCAGCCATTGGAAAGTATTTTGGTTATTCAAATAATGGAGTTGCTAGCCATTTAAAAAAATTATAGGGAGAAATGTTCTTAAATGTCATCAGCTACCGAGTGCTGGAATCGCTTATGGGATTTCATGAGTTGCTATAAAACATGGTCCAGCAACAGCAAGAGCAGTTTTGCATTACAAGTCCTGTAATTCTTGGTGTCTGCTTAAAGGGCCAGATACTCATCTGCTGTTGAGGGCCATTGTGCTCCCCAGGTCTATCATGCTTCCTTACTTAATATCAAATGAGGATTGGAGCTGATACCGGAACATGAGAATAGGGCTATGTTGAAGAGAAGACAAAAATAACTGTCCCACAGGAGAGATTCTGCCGGTTTCACCCAACAGTCCTTTTCAGATTCCTTTTGGCTCCCCCAGAAAGAAGTGTTATCGGTGCCTAGAAGGCAGCATGGGGACTTCAGCACTTCACTCCGGCACCATCGCCTAGGGGACAGCTTAGGGATGGCGTTACTTGGACAGAGTGACTAGGAGGCCTACTGCCAAACAAATGCTCCCATGTTTTAACTTATCCTACAGCAGAGAGAATCTTCTCTACTCAGATTTGCTTTGGAAGTGGAAAGCTATGCAAATGCTATGGGATTTTTCTATAAAAGCAACTGATTTCAGCTTGCCCAGCTGTAAAATATTAGTACCTATCTGCCACACGGCTGACAGTTAAAGCAAAAAATAAAGTAATCAACAAAATGCAGCCTTCACTTTAAGCACCTGCGTAGTTTCCCTGATTTCACTGAGAATGGCTGGCGTGGATGATGCTGCAGGATCAGCAGCAGCAAAGGTAGCTTCTCTGTGATATTCCTGGCTTTCATCAGCTGTTCAGGGCATGAGTGTAGGCAGGTGATAGCTTCTGTGCTGTAGAAGTCCCTTTTGCTGGCAGGATTGAATCAATAAATGACTTCAAGTGTTGTTAACAATCCTAAGAGCAAAATGATTTGTGCAGAACACTTGTGAGTCAGCTTAGAGCACGATAGCCCCCCATTATAACTTCAGTGGAAGATCAGAACATAAAAAAGAGAGTCTTGTTATTACTTTAACACTGTGAAAGATGCACTGTGTTCCTGATTCCTTACTTTAATTGCATACACAGATACCATCACTTGAGTGTTCAGCTGCTACATATAAAATCAATTTTGGTGAGTAGTAAATACAGTAAAACCGAAGATTTAATGGTATAAATCAAGGGACACATTCAAGATAAAACGGTCTTCACTTCAGCAATACAATTACTACAGTAAAAACCTTAGATTTATTAAAATAGAAATAATTTTAAGTGCATTTGCCTTTGCTTTTTATTACTTATTTTTTATATCTAAGAAACAAAACTCACTTAACATGAACTGGGTATTTTTACATTCCTAGCCTTTATAAATTTTAACAGTGCTGCAATTTCAGAAGACTTTTTTTTCCCCATATCAATTTTAATATTAAATTAAGTTAAATTAATTTGAGATTAAATTGAGTAAAAGTTTTTCAAATATGATTTGTCATTATTTCACGTTTGCCCATAGTAATTTGATATAAAAAGCCAACTACATTCTCAAAACATCTGGTTCTTAAAGGCAATCAGAGACTCCTTTGCAAAGTCTAGTTATTCAGAAAGCAGAGGAAAGCAATCCTCAAGTCAAAGCCATCAGCTTTTAAGAGCCTGAATTAAGATTTATCATTCCTTATGTATGATTGTCTTTGAATGTCCATTATCCATGTATTGAGTGTCCAGTACATTTTGTTTATCCATTAGGTGTTTTCCAATCACTGCACCGTTCAGCAAGACACAAAGTCATGGAACTGCCTCCCTAGGAGGGAAACCAACTAACTCATTCTTGGGATTTGGCTAGATAAACTACTTCCGCTGAGGTTAGTCGCTACTGGATTTACTTTCCCAGGTACCTCTGTCGTGACAGCCTTTCCCTTCCTTAATGTGGCCTAGCAGGTAAAGCACTACACTGGGACTCTGGCAAGGTTGTAATAAAACTCACTGCAGTGCTAGATGGCTTAAGGCAGTATATGAAAAAAACAAAATTAATGCTTACCTCCTGCGCAAAGCACGCTGAGCTTCTAGGTGGAAAAGCAAGACATAAGACATTGGACTATTTGACTAAATGGAGCTTAATAATTATCACATTAAAAGGTTTTTGTGATTAGTTGGGGCAGACTCCACCTGCCTGGCTAACTGGGCTCTGCCTACTGGCAGGGTTCAAGCATTGGCTAAGGAGTACAGAGAGGAGCAGGGAGTTGCTCTTCAGGTAAGCTGTCGTAGGCCTTTTGGAGGAATGTTGCTAGATTTAAATCATGGTATGATCAGTAGAAATGACTGAAAATGTTCAGAATAAATAATTTTCAACAGGAAGTAGGGTTTTGATGCAATTTCAGTGTTCTTCAGGGTCATGTGAAGTCTACTGAAGCTTCCTGATGGAAGCTGGGCAGGCAGGCTTTCCTCGCAGCGAGCCAGCAGCTGGGGGGCTGCCCAGCCACGTACGCCTCCAGCAGGCTATTTGGCAAGCCAAGTTAGCTAGGAAGCTACATTCTTGCGCCCATTTAAAAACTGGCTAGATTTAGTTATTCCAAAAATGAGTGTTTCTAAATGAGTCATTCCATAGAAATCCTCACATATCCAGCTTTGCATTCCGATATAGAATGCAAGCATTAAAAATATAAAGTAAACTTTCTGTGGGTCATAAAATCCACTTCCTGTGCCATCCCAGTGATTAAATGAAGATGTGGCTGAATAAAATGGTGGCTCTTAATGGAATTTCAGAGAAAAAAAAACACAAAGATTTTATGCAGGCACCTCAAATTTATTAAAATTCACTTTTCCCGCATGACTTGACTGCAAAAAAAAAAAAAAGGCAAAGCATGTTTAATGATTGTAACTAACTCGCTGTAATGACTTTAAAGACTTGACTCGTGAGCACTTTCATTTTTTAATCGGGAAGTTTGCCTGAGAAACAGCTGATCCACAGAAACATTCCCTCTTTATGATACTGTATTGTAAATCATTTGGGGTTTTCTAATTCTTAATGTATTTTACCAAGTAATAAACATAGCGTGTTTGGAAGCCTGACTAACTGAATAATCAACTCTGGGCACACACCCCAAAAAGAGACCCAGACTTGGACCAGTACACTAGCAAGAAGTAGTTTTATGGCCCTTCATTAAAGGTACTTTATAGTTACTTTTAGGCTAAAATCTTTAAAAAGCGGTCGTAGTGATTAAGGAGCGCCAAAGAGACTAAGCGGCGTGAAAAACACCCACGCTACCTGAATAATCAGCTTCCCCCAGCCAGGCAAAGGACAACAAGAAGGAATTCGGTTAGCGTGCGGCGCTGCGCAGGCCCCCGCCGGGCAGAGCCCCTCTTTGGCGAGCAGGCGGGCCTGGAGCGGAGGGAATAATCCGCGCCGCCTCATTAGAGCTTCCCCGCAGACCCGAGCCCAGACTTGTCATTGTGATGGGGCTTGGAGAGGAGCCTGGCGTCGCTGCCTCGCTTTTGGACAGCGAGAAATCCTATTCCACGCAGGGAAGTTGAATGGTGCTTGCTGGCGAGCGGCGGGGAAAATAGCCGAGGCGAGATTTATTACTTAATTCTCAGGAACGTCGCTTCCGCCTGACAGCGAATTTGAGCAGCCGGCTGTGGATTTTGTATTTGCTTCCCCGCAAACAAACAAAGGTTAGTCGGGTGGCTTTGGCTTTTTTGGAAAGAGTCCTAACCCTGGACCCGTGTCAAAGACACATGCCCGCCGTTCGCCATGGGATTGACGAATTCTTAGCTGTTTTGTGAGCGCTCTCCGTTCTCCACTCGCCCTTCACTCTGAAGTCTACATATATGAAATGGAAAATCGAGGGCTGTTCTGCACCCTTTGTTACCTGATGTTCAATGCCCCTCTGCTGTTCGTGGTGAACGGTAAGCAGCAAACTTTTGCCTCTTCGCGTAGTAAATAGCCACCACAAACGGACCTAGCACAAGGGATGTCTATAAACTTCTGTCAAGCGGGGACTGCCGTACGGGCAGGGAAGGCTAGCGGCCGGGGCTTGAGTCGATAAGGTGTTCCCTGTGCCTCCGGCATCTGTGCTAGCCGTAGTCGGTGCTGCGGGTTTGTGTCTGACCCCTACCAGCTTCGCCTCTATCCAAAATTGCTGGTGATCTCGAAATGCCTTCCTCGCTGGCAGTTCTTCCTGTGGAAGTGTTTTATGGCTGGGGGCAGGGAGCGCTGCCCAGGGAGGGCTGTTTTGCAAACAAGGTTGCACTGTTGTAACTGCAGATGTTCACAGTGGGGTTAGCCGGCTGAATGTGCAGGGTTTCATCGCCGTGCTCTCTGCTGCAGAGCCGGGGCTGCGGGAGGTGGGAGCAGCTAGCACCCAGCCTTTACACATGCAGATGCTGGCTGCGACCAGCCCGACAAATCCCCACCCCGGCATCTGGGGGAGAAGGGACGCTGATGGGGGAGGGGGAGGCTAATGTCCTTCTATGCTATGCTGGGCTTTCTCAGGAGGAGGAGAAGGAGGGTTTTTAAGATCCTCTTAAAACTTTTCCTTTCCGCTGGAGCCACAGCACCTGGCTGTAGGGTGGAAGGAGGACCTGGCTCATCCCCGCTCCCCGGAGGTGCGCAGTCCTGGATGCTCAGCTTATTCTGTAGTCACTGAAAGGGAGAAACTCGTGCCGCAGTGAGCGTTTAGCCCTTGAGTTAAAGCAGATCAGATTACACTGAAAAGGACTGATCTTGTCTTTTAATCTCTCCCATTAACCGGCCCTTGTAATTCTATCTTCTCCTCTCAGCTACCTTTACTGAAGTTCCCAAAGATGTGACTGTTAGGGAGGGAGATGATATTGAGATGCCTTGTGCTTTTCGAGCCAGCGGATCCACCTCTTACTCCTTGGAAATCCAGTGGTGGTACCTTAAAGAGCCAGCCAGAGAACTTGCACATGAATTAGCCATGAGTGTCCCTGGCAGCAGGAGCAAGGTAATGAAGTGCCATGGAAACATACATATTCACTGAGTGCAACACGCTCAGCGAGCGCTTAAAATAAGCCCAGCAATGCCCACAGAGGAGAGGTGCCTCTCCTGCGACGTGCCGATGAGTTGGGTGGAATCGCAAAGCTTCCCGGACTCTCCCTAGAAGTGAAGTGAACAGGGACTGTGTCTCGGGGCTAATTCACCCCAGGAAAAAAAAACAGCAGCACTTTAAGGATTGTAAATAGAAAATGATAAATATCCTGCTGCAAGATTGTCCGTGAGGATCCAGAGCGGTGGTCAAAAATAACTGTATTATAAAGTGGGAATACGCAAAAAACAGTGCTGCTCTGAGCTGAGCTGAGCTAGGAATCACTGTAAAATGTGGGAGACTCTGTTTGCCCACTAATAAAGCAGCTAAAGGAGTAAGGGATGCACCACTCTGTTGATACATTACAAACCTATCAGTGTGTGTCTATACAAACACAGTTTCTTGGGGAGCTGGTACACACCTGTGTCCAAGAGCTAGAGTGCTGCAGGACATTTAAACACAGTGGGATGTAGTAATTAAAATGCATGAAGTAGAGTTAAATCTTGTGTGTCCTCTCCCCTCCCCCTAAAAAGCAGCCTCGCTTGAGGGCAGGCTCTATTCTTAATTTTTTCCAGCTGCGTTTCCCTGACTTGCCAGTTTATTCTGCAGCCTCCTCCTCGGTGCAGGATGCCTCTCAGGGGCCAGGCAGGGCTGTGCAAGGAGCAGGGCAAAGCGGGAGCTGCTGGACCTGTCTTCCTGCAGCCGAGACCATGTCACCTTCTCCAGCCACCCAGCCCGCAGGGTACTCCCAGCAGGAGCCTCTAATGCGTGTGCCAGGTCCCCTCTCTGTGGCAGGCTTGTTTTCCTGCAGCGCTCAAATAGAGATGCAAAGCATATAGACACTGAGCTAATGCGATGCCGCCTAGCTGGGGAAAGTGTAAGTCAGTTGTCAGGGAAATAAATTGCTTGGATTTAAATGTCTTCTTTAACCTTATATAAAAGCCGTGAGTTGCGTTCACAATAAATGATGACAGGGCTTGCCTGGAGAATGATGACCGTCCTCCCTGGGAGGGACATCAATGAGATCTGACACATCACTTAGTTTTACAGTAGTTGGCTTTAGACAGAAAAAATACTCAAGTCCAAAACCTGATGAGCGATGCCTGCTCCCAGGGTGTTTCCTGACTTGGCTTTGTACTGAGCAGTGCAGGATCTGGCCTGTCCGAGCGTTTCACTGCTGTGCTAATGCCACTGTTGAAAGCTTCTTTCCCACTGTTCATCACAGAAGCAACACCCAAGCATTTCTTTGCCTGTGGTTCGTGTCCTTGGCTAAAGCAGCACTTCTGTTGGCCCCGCAGAAGCGCAGTTAAGCTTTAGCAAAACAATCCCGCCAGTTAAATAGTGGTTAGCTGCCTTCCCAAAGGGCAGGGAAGCCCCCCCCCAGCAGCCCCACGCAGGTGAATGGGACATTGTGAAAGTTGGGTCCCCCTGTGTCCTGCTCTGTGCACCTGGGGAGGGGGCGGGAAGACCAGCATCATGCTGAGGTGCTGGCAGGGCTGAGGCTAATATCTTTCCTTTTCTCTTCTTTTAGGTAACAAATAAGGATGCAACTAAAATCAGCGTAAGTGCAGCTCAAGCTGGGTGGTGCACACATCTCTTCCCATAAATGTCGGAGTTATTGTATCCCCCTGCTTCTCGACACATCATCTTAGCCAGCTTCCCGGGCAGCCCAGCTCCTGCAGCGTAGCGGGAGCGTGGCACGTTTCCCCCTCCTCGGTGTGTCGTGGCTCGGTCAAAATGTGACCATCTGGTGCTGGTTTAGCTGTCATGTCTCATTCCTTGCAAATCCAGAGGAGCTGAGATTTGCTTTACACCCACGTTTGAAAAGGATGGTGGTTCAAATCAGGAGAGAAGTTCTTGCTTTTTTTTTTTTTTTTTTTTGCCTTGTGCAAGGCTGCAAACCCAGGTTACCTGTGGCACTATTGTTCCTCTTTCCCCTCTCCTGGGGGAGAAAAGATCCCTTTCTGGGTGACTGCAGGCCCAGAACAGCCTTCGCGTGGCCAGGACGCGGCTCCCGCTCGCGCCAGCCCTTTTCGCCCGCGCTGAGAAGTGGGCTGGGAGTCGTTTGCCTCCCACTGGAGCGGTGCAAGCGCAGGCTGACCAGAGGCGAGGATGAGTCCCGGGTCCCATCCGTGATGTTAAAGGCTGGAGTTATCCCAGCGAGGTTTGGTCCTTCGCAGCAGCCGAAGAGGGGGACCCCCGAGGGCGCTGAGCGTCTCTGCGGTGTCTGCCTCGGAGCGGGCCGGACGCTGCAGGAAGACGGGGTTGCGTGGGATGGGGAGCGGCGTGGGGGAGAGGAGAGAAGGCTGGGGAAAGAGGGGCTTGGGGCTGACCTGAGAGGAAGAGGAGTCGTTTTGGCCCAGCACCAGCTGCAGGAGAGCGGGGTGGGACTGGGTGGGGGGGGGATGGGTGACTGGTTTTGATGGCAGACTGCCACTGGTGACCCCAGAGCGGAGCGGGAACGTCGAGGTACGGGGTTGAAACGCGAGATGCGCTTAGTTATGGGGGGGAATTACCTCGGAGTCAGTGGTGCGGC